ACTATGTAGCACCGTTAGTGTCATGGAATATTAAAAAAAAGGTGCCAAATATCACTCAAGAAATCAAGATGATAACAAAAGGACACAAGGCAAGTGATATCAAAGGTACAGGATACTGGATTCACCAAAGATTCTATTGACTGACAAACGACGCAGAGGGACATTAGGAAAGCAAGACGTACAATTATCCTGAAAATTGGGACATTCAACAAGGAGGAGCACGATTAAGTGGGCTAATGCAGTTTGGACAGTAAAGAGCAGGGTGTCGTTCTATTAAATGCTTCCGAGTTTAGTGCGTGTGGCCGATGTACAATCTAGCCAGAGACGTTTCCCACCATCTATTACAGTGACAGGAGGAAGGCCAAGTGGGATATGTTACCTTTAAGAGTGCACAGTTGGTTAGTTGTAATACAAGACCTGTCAACCTTTGCAGATCGCAGAACATTTGAACAAGGATTCTGTTTTAGGGAAATGGGACAAATAAAAATGGCCTCCTTAGTGGTTGTGGCCCCAAATTCAACTGCTTTAACTCCAATATGAACCCAACAAAATTTGACTGTCTTAAAATATGCTAGATACCACCTAGCAGTAAACACTTATCCAACTGTTATGGATTGTATCCTGGGGAAGGTCAGTTGTTGGCCTAGGATGAGCTTAATAAGTCTAACAGGATTACTGACCTCGACAGCAAGAAACTACGCACGTGCATGTCTATAAACCCATAAATTTCAATTATTTTTATGCACATACATTACCTTTTCCCAACCATGTGCTTCTCATGTATGGGGAACACTGCTGGTGATGAGTCTAATATAGAATAATAACATTGAATATTATAGTAAAACTTGCCTGTAACAATTATAAATTCCTTAAGTGCTTTGTATAACCTTTTAATATTAAAACTTTACTAGAATTGCTACTACAAACCCTTCATTTGTTGGTATCACTACCAATAAATATTCCCAATATACCCCTCACTAATTGTGCCAAAAATCTCAACACAGCATGGACGAATAGTAAAATTTTGCAAAACCCTGACTAATAAGTGTAAAATCCTTAAACTCTTCCCAAAGTAATAAAATAACAGTTTATTAAATATTTTAATACAGTATTTCAACATTCATAATACACTTCTATTTTCACAGGTACAGTAGATCTAAATCGTGATGACATTGGTTTTCCTGTCGTCTTGCCCGGTACAACTTTCATAAAATGGACTCCTTTAATATACCCTACATGAAGACTAAACCACACACCAGAAAATGAGGAAACAATAAAGTTTTGGTCCATCCTGGACCATTATCAAGTCGACTGTGATGGGAGCAAGGGAGGCACAGGCATTAAGAATGGCAAGAGAGGCGAGGAGGAAATTCCTAAGAGCAAGGCAGAAAGTATGGATGGGATGGGTATAATAATGGGCTGTAGGAAGGGGTAATAATGGGTATAAGAATGGGAATGTAAGAATAAGATAAAGAAAAAGGAGAAAAAGGTGTACAAATCTACTTTTGTGAAATATATTTATGACTGAGAATGGTTGGGAGTGCAGTACTTGGTAATAATATCCAGACAGACATATCTAACTCAAAGATAAGTGGAAAAACTAAGTGTCATAATAGGTGTCAATACTACATGCCAGTTTTCTGTTCATGACGGGCTCATGGGAGCCGGTCGGCTGAGTGGACAGCATGCTGGACTTGTGATCCTGTGGTCCTGGGTTCAATCCCGGGCGCCGGCGAGAAACAATGGGCAGTTTCTTTCACCCTATGCCCCTGTTACCTAGCAGTAAAATAGGTACCTGGGTGTTAGTCAGCTGTCACGGGCTGCTTCCTACGGGTGGAGGCCTGGTCGAGGACCGGGCCGTGGGGACACTAAAGCCCCGAAATCATCTCAAGATAACCTCAAGATATGATCAATTCAATGAATTGCCCTTGTCCCGTACAAACAGTACATAATCCAGTCCAGTACAGTACATAATTTCAATGTACTGTACTGTATTATACAGCTTCATGGAATGCTGATACAATATTGAAATAAATGTAAAAAGTTTGAAGGTTTTAAAATTGGCAAATTATTGCCTAAAACTCAAATACTGTACACACCCATTATTAGTAAACATTAATTTCCCAAACCTGTCACCAGGGGTTACATAGCTAAGCAACAGAACACATCCGAAGTGCTTAATGTATATACGTACTGTACATACCAAATCTGTAGTTATATAGCTTGAACAATGCAATATAAAATAATAGTAATGCCTACATTTCAAGAAAAATATTCCCAAGTTTCCAAAGGTTAATGGATTGTAAAATTTTAAATCAACACAGTATTCTAGTGATAAATATATCTTATATAAAATACACTAATTTAAACTCTTGAGAAACAGTATTTATAAAAAATCCAATCTTTAATCCCTATAAATAATTAGATAATATAAAGATTAATATTAACAAACACCTCTATACTGAACAAGTGGCACCAAAGTAGCCATGAGTGTTGCTAATATTTATCAGGTTAAAGCGAATCTGATACTGTATTTCTTTTGGTATCATTGACCATGTTGCAGATGATGAGTCACAATAATGTGGCTGAAGAAATGTTGACCAAACCACATACTAGAAAATGATGAGACGACGACATTTCGGTCCGTCCTGTACCATTATCAAGTTGTGTGAAACGTTGTCGTCATCGTCTTCATTTTCTAGTGTGTGTGGTTTGGTCAACATCGATCATGCTGTTAAAATGTTAAAGAATAAATAGTATTTTGTTAATTCTTAAGGTATTTAACATGTAGCTACAGCACCTAATTGAGGAAGAGCACACCACATTAAAGTCAATAAATTCTCAAAGTTTCTTGAAATGAGCGGCAGAAATTAAAATGCAAAAAATAAGGGGCAAAGCCATGAGTATTTTCCATGAGGACACCTACTTGAGGTTGCCTAGAGGCTAAAAACCCTTCATTTATTAGTGGGTTTAAAAGCCCTTGTGTAATATTATTGTTTAAGAGTTAATGATTACATGTTTGCAAAATAGCTGATAAAAGGTACATAACAAATCTGTGTATCCGATTATTTTGACCCATTCTTGGCTTGGGCTTATAAACTACGTTTCTATAGTTCCAGTCGTGGTCAATCTTCACTTACACAACACACAAATCTCTATATGTGTGTATATCACGAAAATAAACACGTGATTAAAAATGTGACAATGTCAGACCACGGAGGAAAAATGAAACAAGAATTTCCTTAAGTACTTTCGCATATTAATACATCTTCAGAAGGAGTCCTTCTGAAGGGGGCATGGTAACCGAAAATCCGATGAAAAATGGAATATTTACGAAAAATTACGAAAAATACTACAACGTTCTGGCAACACTGTGGTCCAAACCGTTTAATGATATCTTGAAAAATAACGTAATTAGAGTCAAATTTCCCGCTGCAACTTTCGTGAATCTGGTCCTCGCGCCGTGAGTACGCCGCGGGGCATTGTATCTTACGTTGTAGATGTCTTATTTTTCGTAATAGCGTTGAAAATAACATGTTATGCATAAAATGAATATAAACTAACAGATATGGCAACACTATTGTCTGACACGAGGGTGGTGCAGTCAGTGACTGCGTGTCTCTCATGGAGAGAGGATGTATGCTGACGCGCTCACACAATATCTCCCAGAACATGCTATTTTTAGCTATTTGTACTGCAATATGACTTACCAAACGAACAAGAGAAAAGCATTGACAGCTAGATGCATGCGAGCTCTCCATACGAGCTGGCCGCAATGCGTAAATCACCAGTCACGAGTGACCGCAGGTTGAGTAAACTTGTCGAGCGCGCTATGCAACTCCAACTTTTACAACTAGATCTCGTTTCACAGCCTTTATTTATTATTCAATTTACATGAAACTTGCACATTATATGTAGAGTTTACGCCTCTATAAACGCATGTCATTATTCTTATCTACGTAGATTTATTGATTTTATAAATAATGATACACTTCATTTTGTTGCATACGTTTTTGGGAAACTTTTATAAAATCTGTATTATTGCACTAAATACATCTGGGATAATGATGTGACATGCAAATCTTTATTATATAGTAAGGTCATAGCTGAGTGTCGTATAAATGATTTTGGTTCACAATTGTGGGCTGTGAAATCAATTGAACATGGTTGAAAAATTCGTCTTTTTTTTTTTTTTTTCCCCGTCTCTATTTAGGCTGAGATGCTGAAACTTGGCCTAGGTGCAGCACCTTTCACATGTATCAAGATAATAAATTATGAATACCCTACAACAATTTTTTAAATCCTGATACCATGCCCCCTGAAGATGTATTAATATACGAAAGTACTTAAGGAAATTCCTGTTTCATTTTTCCTCCGTGGTCTGACATTGTCGAATCTCTATATATATATATTTTGATACAGAAAGAAAAGTCAAGGATTTTTCTCAAAATGTTTTGAGAAGCTTTTGGCACAAAGAAAATGGCTTACACGAAAGAAGACTACTTTTCTGAACAGATTATACTTCTAAATTCTTGTTCGAAATGCAAACTTTGAAGATACATAATATTCAGTTATAATTACGTTTTATTTTGTCACACCATTGTGTAAATGCTTTTTTAACTTGACCAGATATCTTTATATAAAACTAGACATACTACAAAAAGGGTTTCAGTACAAGACACACATTTTGCATTTGAAGCTTCTATGATTTAAACTTTCTTATAGACCTAGGGCAAAGGTAGGTACAGTACTATTGATTGGTCCTTTATGCTGGCCGCATTTACACTCAGCATAAACAAAGCAAATGTTAAGATACTGCCAATTGAATTGCTAGCAATATAATCACCACCTATCTTTTGTTGCCCACAGCCTAAACACACTTTCCCTATTTTCTATGAAAAATAGTGCCTATGGCAAACACTGAAATTGTGCCCCCTAGACCAGATATCTGACACCATCTCTCAGATAACTTTACCATAAAATCAGCTAATAAATACAAGTCACGTTTGTTAATTTTTTAATTGTCAAATTATGACACTACATGTAAATTACAACTGCACCTTGCTTGCTTTCACTGATGCAAATTGGTCTATGATGTGGTCAAAGTCAGTTTTTATTTTAGTTTCTTTTCTTTCTACACTTAGTAGAGCTAGATCACAGTCTGCCTTAGCCCAGGGAGGATCTCAAATATTAAAGTATTAATGTTAACTTGATGAATGACCTCTCACAGCTGCCGCTGGGAACTGCGATGGTTAGCATTATCTTAATGGCAATGCAAAGTTTAGAAAAGACACACTCAGATTCACACTGAACAATAAATTTGAGAAGCTCTTCGGGTTTTGATATTTTCACGTTGCTTGACTTGATAGTAACGTTCTGCAATCCAAAATGTCTCCATATAGCTGCTGCCCATCAACGTCACAGCTCTACAATTCGCCCAATTTTTCGCACTTCTTCCTTAAATCATTGTCAGCGGTGGTGCCATAACACAATATTATTACTATTATATTTTATGTAGTTAAAAGAAATAAATCCTTTAATTACATATAATAATAATAATAATAATAATACTGTATAATCAAAGACAGATCATACCTTGGAAGAATTTTTTTTTTCACTATCCAAGGGTAGTTATCTGACTTTAATTGAAAGTGCTTAGTAGTGCCCCCTTCAAGTGGCCCCCAGGGCAAGTGCCATACTTGCCATACACTAGATCCACCACTGATGGTTAAAATGGAGAAACAAACTGAAAAAGCCCTTTACTAATGTTAACGTATAAAATGTTATAAGATAGAAAATCACTTCCTTGTACCTACAATACAAAAATAAAAATATAAACAGTATTTCTGGTTTAGCTTCATGCAACTTGGTACATATAACGTGTCAAAAGTATATTAATTACCCAAACAACAGTTGCAAGTCAGATCATAATGGATTTATTTACACTTTGTGTATCATTAAAAATTTTAATACTGTATATGAAAGCTGCATCTTAATATTTTTTTATTTTATTATTTTTGTACAAATCATTAAAATTATTATAAAATTCTTTATTTGTAAAGCTGTTATAATTTAAATGCAAACTTCCTATCATGCTATCTAGATGTACAAATTTTCATACTAACAAAATTGTAGATATTACATTAAAATTAAAATATTAATAGTCAAATATTGACAAAAATTCATCCACATTATAGGACACTGGATCTAGTTAAGGACTCATTCATGACTAACACAAATGAAAAGTCAAGTTACCATTTATAATTACTGTACTGTACTTATAAATTATTACAACTCGTACACCCACACACAACAAAAACAAGATTTTCTAAACATTTATCTATTTTTTAAGATGTTCTCAAGGGTACATCTCACACTAAAGACAAAATCCTTGTTTCTCTTCTTCTCGGAGTTTACAAGCTTATAAGCAGCACCATTGTGGCTTTACGAGACAAAATACTAAAGGAAAATAAAAAATATATTCTGCGTTCTTCACTGAATTGACCATGTTGACAATTTCTGAAGGTTTCCCGGTACAAAAATATAATACTGAACAATATGTATCATCTCGTTTAATTTGCAAATACCTGTGTTGAATCGCGTCAACATGAATTATGACATTTCGTTAAAACTTCCACAAATATATGAAAGAGAAGCTAATATTTAGCTGATCTTTTTTTTTCCCCATTTACATGCAAGTATGAGATCAAATCATCATATATAGGAATCATTATGAAATTCTTGTGTATCTCTTTTGTTGAAGGGTAAAAAGTCCTGCAATATGCAGGTATCCTTGAGCACGAGCTTATTATGGCAACTTTGTGTTATGTAAGTAAACAAACTTCACCAGTTGAACGAATGCCTTTCACATAACATACTCCTCCAGACCTGTCATATGAACTGAAAAATCACACTTGACAATACAAGAATATTGTCATAAACCTTCATCAAATAATGATACTTGACATTTAGCACACAAAGCTAAATTTAGCCTTGCAAAACTCCAGCGATTACACTCTTTTAAAATAAAATGAAAATATCATGAAGGAAATATTGCACTCTTTTATAAAATGCTTAAAGGTTTATGATAGGAGGCAGAGGCACAGGGGCTCATTTCAAGATTCTTCATTGGGTTCTGAACACACTATACAGAATATGAAAATTCTACCCAAATGCAGCTCATCCTTAAATAGGGACACTTTTCTGTACATTAGCCACATATTTGCTTTCAGCATTCACACACTTTCAGTTTTGCATACAGTATTAACCTAAAACTTACACATCATCCACCCATGTTGTTTTTAAGGATTTCTTAGAAGACCAAAATCCTTTGGTAGAAAATATTGCAGAAGAGCATTCGTGACGACGGTCGAGAAACTTTCGGAATTCCGACACAATGAGGACTGTAGAAGTGAGGCAAATTAGATACATCCAATCCGAGATGTGAATGCCCTCCGTCTGAAACACCCACTGGAGGAAGGGAAGGTAAACGACACAAAGCAAGCAGCCCATTGTAGCCGTAAGAGCGACAAAGAGGTACCAGTTAGAAGTGATGCCTATCTCTAATACTGACTTGGTATCGGAACGACAAGACATGGCGTTAAACATATCATACATTACAAAGCAGGCAAAAGTCATGGTTGTATCTCGTGCGGTCACGACACCATCACTCATTTCAGATCTGTGGACAGAAAGCAATTTTCAGTTTCCTTATGATTGAAAAGCAAAGCAAAACATATTTCCTAAAAAACCTTAAGGAATAGACTGAATAGAAGATATAATACAGCTTGTAACTGATCAGGTACGCAGCTACCCATTTATGCTGATCAACTGTACCCTGAGTAACTTTTTAACAAACTATTCTATAAACTAAGTATTATAGCATCTTTACACTGTTTGTTATAACTTGAAGAGGGAATAGTTGCAGCATCTACTGAATTACACATTTGGTCTATCCTTATCAAAAATTAAGGTTTCCATTGAATTATAATAGGCAAGAAATTAAACTGGGTTGAATCAATTTTGAAATTTAAATTTGTGAAAAATATATTAGAACAATGAGTCAATGATATGAATAATACATTAAATTGCCAATGAAGCCCATCACTTTTTTCTATTTTTTTGCAAATTAAAATCGATAACATGAGATTTTCTCTATGTGTGTGTTACATAATAATGGGAGCAGTGCAAGGGTTAGTTTCGATTTTTCGTGTTATTGTTTTGCATGATATTTTCCAGTAATCACTGCACAAATCATGTCACTATTGAGTACAAATTTGGATGGAATCAAATATAGTTATGGGGTAGTATAATGTTTAGGGTACTGGAACAAAAGCTCCAAATTATTACAATCATAGAAATGAAGCAAATGCTTGGGAATAATAGGGATATGCATTTTTTTTAGAAAATTACTAGGTAATCAGAAGAGAGAGAAGAAACACAAGGAGAAAGAGAGGGCCTGCTATCTTGAGATGATTTCGGGGCTTTAGTGTCCCCGCGGCCCGGTCCTCGACCAGGCCTCCACCCCCAGGAAGCAGCCCGTGATAGCTGACTAACACCCAGGTACCTATTCTACTGCTAGGTAACAGGGGCATAGGGTGAAAGAAACTTTGCCCATTGTTTCTCGCCGGCGCCTGGGATCGAACCCAGGACCAAAGGATCACAAGTCCAGTGTGCTGTTCGCTCGGCCGACCGGCTCCCATGCTGCTATAGCTGAACTGGAATTCTGACACGAGGACACTGTACTTGGCAACAATGAATCACTCCATAACCTACCTGAAGACCCATAATGTTCCACAAATTATGACCGAGGCCGATATGACGCAGTTCCTGATGAGTTTCTTTGTAATCAGATCTTTTGTAGTGTCTCGGGGAGGCTGGACCTTAACATCATCATCAATAGGCTCCATGCCAAGAGTAAGTGCTGGTGGCCCATCCATGATTACATTAATTAGCAGAATCTATAATGAAACAGTACTTGGTTAAAATGGGGTTATGGACAAATCATACACAAGACTATGCAACAAAGTTCATTTTATGATTGTTAGAACCATATATACCATTAGCTTAGGATGTATTAGCTTAGTTTAGACAGTGATAAGCTTGGTTGGGTAGATTTTAAAATCTACTGGCAAACCCTCTTGTTTTGTGAATTATAACCGATTAAAAGTAAGGCTAACATTCAGAATTCAGTTACATTTGCTCTATCCAAGAAATAACAAATGAATTACTTTATGGTATTCAAATCTCGTCAGAAAAATATATCAACCAATTGACAATCAATTATAAACAAAAACTTTGAAAAATACATTTCATAGCAATGCAATATTAAACATGTAAAATATCTTCCGCCTTACAGATTTATACTCTGAATATCAATATTTCTAGTTCTAATGATGACAAGACCACCTAGTTCTAACCTTTCTAGTTCTAAGACCTTTCTAGTTCTAAGACCTTTCTAGTTCTAACCTGCATGGGATTGAGGGGGCTGGGGAGGCCAAAGAGCGTAGAGAGCGCGATGAGGCTGAGAGCGACTAGGCTAGTGCTCACTTGGAATTGCACAAAGTTGGTGATATTGTGAAAAATGCACTTTCCTTCCTCAATTGCTGATCTGCAAGAAGAGCATCCAATTTACATACAATACTTACATTTAGATTTAAAATACACTATTAACACAAACTATTGAAGTACTCTAATAACAATTTTTCAGCTAAATCATTTGTCTATTGTAATTATTAATTATTATAGCTAAGGAAATCAAACACTACTGTACAGTTAAAAGACTTAGGTGTAATATGAGGGGACACTATCCCCAAACTTCACAAAAGCTTAAGTGCATCATATGCAATTTGGATCAACTTTAGAACAATAACCAACCACATACAGTAATTGGATACTCATCCTGTGAGCTACTGCTCACAGGATGAGTATGGGGTGCACAATAAACTAGCCGCCTCTGGCAGCAACAATCAAATTCATCATAAATTCACCAAACTGGAACCAAGTGTTTATAGTCTAAGAAAAGAACAATCACAAATAAATGCCAGCTTTAAATTTTGATGGCAGTAAAGTACTGCCGCAAGCAGTCAATGGTCAACCAACATAAAAACCTAAAGAAACAAACAGTACTTACAATATAGTGGTGAAATCATCATCATTGAGAATCATATCGGCAGCTTCTTTACTAACTGCTGAACCCATCTTGCCCATGGAAATTCCAATATTAGCACGTTTCAGAGCAACAACATCGTTCACTCCGTCTCCTGTCATACCCACAATTTCTCCGCACTCCTGAAGAGCCTGAATAAAAGAATGAATACATGCTATAACAGCAAATCAAGTAAGGTTTTAGCTGTAATTAACATAAGGCTCCGAGCCAGTATGAAAAGCTTCTTTATGAGCAGAGCCACTTAGTTTTTTTTTTATTTATTTATATATACAAGAGTTCTTACATTCTTTTACAGCTACGACCCGCCCCTAATCGTTTAACAACCAGGTACCCATTTTACTGTTGGGTTAAACAGAGACTACAGTTAAGGATTTGCACCCAGTAAATCCAGGATACGAACCCAGGACAAAGCTCTTGCGGAACGCCAGGCGAGCGTCTTAACAGTATGCCACGGAGACTGGTTAATTCTTATGGTATGAATCCTTTGTGTCACAGAAATCATTATAGATGTCAGGAAGTATGAGATTCAGGCAAAGGCACCACTGGGATTTTTTCTAAATTCCCTACAGTTCATAGTGTGCCAGGGAGGTAAAAATCTCGGTTAAATCTTCATTTGGCATTAAAAGTGACTGCCAAGCATGCTTCAAAACTGTTCCTTTCCCTGCCAAACTAGCCACTTACCACCACCGGCTAACCAAGATTCCAAAATCCAGATCATGTTGCATTTTCCATGATGCAAACACAAAATCTATTCATAGGAGAATGGGAAGGATCAGAAGCAACAAAACATTTCTATTCAGGAAGGTGCACTTCAAACACTGACTTGAAGCCTTATTTGTAAGTTATCATATTTAATTGCTTTCCCCCAAGATAAGTCTCGCAGACAAATAACACAGACTCCCTTCAAATTGGCCGAGTACACATTCATCCACCCGCAGCAGAGGAAGTGGGGGGGGGGGGGCAGAGAATGAGGACATATTAATGAATAAAAGCTCAAATTATAATTAGGAAAATATACAAAGCTATAACATACTGTACCTTAATAATACGTAGTTTATGTCTGGGCGACACACGATAAAAGACGGTTGCATCTTGTACCAAACCCAGTAGCACCCTGTCATCCATGTTGTCCATCTGATCCCCAGAGAAAACTGTTCCTGGATGCACCTAAGGATTGGAAACCCAAAAATTTGGGTCAATAAGGATTTCAAACTAGTGATGATCATATTAAAACAAAACTGAATACAAGTTCTTAAACTGTGATCCTGAATACCAATTCCAGACATTGATACTGAGCAATTCCAGATACATAGATTCAATCACCATATTGTAAAGTTCGTATTTCTTTTAATTTTACTGTACTTTTTAAATACAAGTGTCTGTAGGCCCGAGCGTCTGTAGGCCTGAGTGTCTGTAGGCCCGAGCGTCTGTAGGCCAAGCGTCTGAAGGCTCGAGTGTCTGTAGGTTCAAGTGTCTGTAGGTTCAAGTATCTGTAGGTTCAAGTGTCTGTAGGTTCAAGTGTCTGTAGGTTCAAGTGTCTGTAGGTTCAAGTGTCTGTAGGTTCAAGTGTCTGTAGGTAATTACCCAAGTGTAGTTACAGGATGAGAGCTACGTTCGTGGTGTCCTGTCTTCCCAACACTCTTTGTCATATAACGCTTTGAAACTACTGGCGGTCATGGCCTCCACCACCTTCTCACCTAACTTGTTCCAACCGTCTACCACTCTTGAATGTGTATGTATGTCTGCCTGCCTGTTTGTGTATTTGTCATGGTGTAGGTAACCTATCTGATCAAAAAATGTCAAACAAACAATTTGTTAACACATTAAGGGCCATACATACACACACACTCCTTCAATCGACCGTTTAACTAAATAAAAGTGACAAGGATTACCATTACTATACAGCTTGTGATACAATACTTGATGTGTGAGATCCAGCATTGGGACACATTGCTGGCTAAGAGAGGTGACAAAGTGCTGCCAATCTGATACTAGGCTAGAGGGTAGATGAATATCACAAGAGGTTCAATAATAATTTACTAAATGCCAGTTGACACTTAATATCTTAATTATATTATAACTATATTACACATTTTATACTATTTTATCTATACGTGTAATAGGTAAATATATCTATTGTCTGAAATTGGAATGGAATTATCAGGAGAAAGTGCCAAACCAATTCAACTATATAGCACTTGGAAGAGATCAGAATAGGGATTGGGGGGAAAGGAATGGTGCCCGACCTGGAGATCAACACAGGGGGTCTGAACAGCCACAAAATATTGGATATTGCTATTTTGTTGTTAATACTGCCACAGATATTGCATGTTTAGCATCATTATGGTGACCTTCAATAGCTCAACTTTTCACATTCCTATCATACATTTTCCAATAAATTTAATAGAACCACTTTTTAAGATGACCCTGAATATCAGTATCTATAAGTGTCTTGTAAATGGTTCTCTTATCCTAGGCAATTACGCGCTTAGCAAGAGTATTTACCTACACAGCACAGAAAATAAATCTCTCTCCATTCCCTATTTTCCCCCCTGATACTTACATGAAGACCAACAGCTTGAGATATAGCACAAGCCGTTTCTTGAGCATCGCCAGTGACCATTTTGACTTTGACACCGGTGGACTGCAGTGTGGTCACTGACGACCGAGCACCTTCTCTCGGGGGGTCCATGATTCCCAACATGCCCATGTAGCTCAGCTCCGATAAAGACGGACCACGAGCTATTCCAAGGACTGATGCAGAATTGTAAGCCGAAAGAACAAAGTAAATCAGTATTTAAAGTAGATCATTATTAGTTAGGTCTCGCCTCATGATGCAGGAAACTTGGAAATGATGTAATTACTACTATATAATTAACTATGAAAAACAATTATATTTAAAGAAAATCATGATTCAATTTGTAGAAATAAATTAATATTCAATGTTGATAATATTTACCAAAGGATAAATAAAAAAATATTTAATGAAAGTGTCCAGCAGTCATTCACAACAGTTCTACCACACTCCTACAGTCATCTTATCTTGAGGTTATCTTGAGATGATTTTGGGGCTTAGCATCCCCGCGGCCCGGTCCTCGACCAGGCCTCCTTTTTGTTACCCCCCCCCCTCAGGAAGCAGCCCGTAGCAGCTGTCTAACTCCCAGGTACATATTTACTGCTAGATAACAGGGGCATCACAGTGAAAGAAACACTTTGCCCATTTGTCTTTTTTCACTCCCACACCTTTGTTGTACTTTTGTCCTCATTTCCTTTTAAAGTTTCTCTCTCTCAACAATAAAATTGCCAATGGGTCAACATAAATCTCTATCTCACTCTGCTTAAACAACTATCATCTGCATCCATCAAATTCCCAAAAGAAGCTTTAATCTAGTCTTAATAATTTCTGTAGCAATGTACATTACCTGTAGAGTATATAGATTATTACACACACACACACTGTGTAGTGATTATGTGAAAGTTTCTAGAAAAAATGGAGAATTGAGTGGGGATGTGTGTAAACTACATTATTATGGCCCCATTTCCAGCTTCCATGGGGGTTGTGAGGCATCAGCCCAGAGTAAAACTACAAATGAATTAAATTGTAGCCTGAACAAATTGCTAACATGACTCACCTCGGAGTCCTTGCCGCCCACGTTCAAGACTTGCAGACAAAATCTGATGCTGCTTTTCCTGTGATAGTGGAAGTAGAGCCACATTTTGATGGTAGTGAGTACAGGCCCGTAATACTGCTTCAATTGCACCCTTTACCAGCCACTCCACCTCTCCGGTCTGTAAAAATGTTATCTTATTTTCTGGCGGCCAAAGACATGCTCAAGTATTACATGAAGTAATAGAGTACAGTACATATAACATGGCAGAACCTGGTGAGGAAGTTATTATATTAGAATTTACATATAGATAATTTTTTAGCATAGAGTTTTGTGTGTAGCTGCTATAAATATAGAACAGGCAAAATCACACAGTATTCATTAACAATACACTCAGATTGGTCACAAAATGGCATTGTAGGGCATGGCTCCCAAAACTTAATTATCATAATTTTTTATTAACCCTTTAACTGCATGGTTAAATTTCTGAAATATTAAACATTTTGAAAGGTGTACTTTGAACATTTAGAATTTACAGTGAGGGAAACTATTCAAGAAGAGATTGAATGCCATCAGTTGTGTACAGTACATTTCACCCTTAAACAGGGAAAATGACTGCAGCCTAGAATTGATTTGAGTATTTATTTTGAGCATAGGGTTACACAGCAAAATGTTTTAATTTTGTATTAAACTCTTCTGCTGCAAACTTTGACTACATTTACAAGATTCATAAAAGGTTTACTCATTAGATGCTACTAGTGTTTGCTGCTTAAATAAATAGAGTTCCATCAGTTGCTAGCAATCTTGAGGTGAAAGTGGCCACTGACTTTTTGCAATTTTGCAACTGGCTAAAAAAATATTGTATTTCATAATACATATTGTATTTTAGCTGCTGGTGAACAATGTTTACAACTGGTCCTATTTGCAACCTATTTTCAAAATAAAGTGCACAAATAAATCTTCAGCCATAATTATTCCCCATGTTCATGAAATAAATGTACTTAATAAATGACTCGCACCTACTGATGTTCGAGTACTTCTTAAAAAGTGTTTCCTTCACTTTGTATTCACAAAGTATAAAATAATTCACATTCCTCTGAAATGTAATTATGCAGTTAAGAGTTAAGGCAAACCACTTTCAGGTATGCATATTTTTGTAATCTTAAACATTATGTTTCAGATAAATTTACTCATTGAAACATCTTTAGAAAGCATGAAACCCACTAGAAGTGTTGCACATTACATAATAGTACTGCCAGTAATAGGCAACAATCTAGCTAAAGATACCTAAAGAGGTTTTATCCAATATAACTGTCTTACTCATCACTATCCAAACTTTGACATATTCCTTTATTTAATCCCTGACATTACACCCATAATACACTCATTTCAAGATGAAACAAATAGTGAAACCCAAAATTCAACTTTAGTAAACGAAATGTTGAGACTTATATTATCAACCAAAAAATAATTCTAGAGTAACCAAATAAACATACTCGACAATTACCAGACGAGAGAAATTCAGGTAACAACACACAATACGGAGTCATTACCTTGAACAATATGCCAAATTCTTATTATACAACATCGTCAAGAATTAAGACTCACCCTTTTATTTTTCACTTTCACCGACATTGTTTTTGTTTCCGACTTGAATGGGATTTCCTCAAGTCTCTGATATTTATCTCTTGCGTTATATATTCTATGCTGTAAAGGACAAAAAACCTATTAACAAAAAGACTTAAAATCCTATACAGTAAATTTTAATTCAAATGATGCATAAAGCATTCTTCATATGAATGAAAATAAATGGCAAGCAATTTTTTAAAAAAGCAAAATAGGAGTAACTTATAATGAGTAACAAAACTATCACTAAGCAAATTATGTAAATAATGATGTAATATAAAATTGTCATGATACCCACGCTACCCACTTTCATGGGGATCACGAGGTGTCAGCTATAGAGGAAATACTAGAGTACAAGAAAGAGGGGGTTAAAGATACCCAAAATGCCACCCCATGTATCCACTTGCATAGAGATAATTGGAAAAAAACTACAACAAAAAAAATTATATTGTATGAGACAAAATACAATGTGAGGAAGTGAATGGAAAATAATATTTCACCAAAGGTAATTACAAATCAAATTTAGGGTTATACAATTCACCTTGATAGCAGCAGCGAGAATAGCCCCCTCTGTAGGCTGCCCAAGTAACTGGCCTCCTATGATCTGGGCATTATTACAAACAGCACCTGTGTGATATGAATGGTACCTCAAATTGATGGGTTACACACCTGTTTTAAAAAGCAAAGATTGTTCACCTCAAATTGATGGGTTACACACCTGTTTTAAAAAGCAAAGATTGTTCACCTCAAATTGATGGGTTACACACCTGTTTTAAAAAGCAAAGATTGTTCACCTCAAATTGATGGGTTACACACCTGTTTTAAAAAGCAAAGATTGTTCACCTCAAATTGATGGGTTAAACACCTATTTTAAAAAGTAAAAATTGTTCATTATGAAACATTTGCTACAATAGTCAAGTATAAACTACCTGGTACGTGTATATACTGTACTTTATAGATGTAGCGACTAGTTTTCAGTTTTATATAAATATGCACAAGTTATTAGTTTTATAATGACTTTATTTGCATTATGTATCTAATTACACGTAAAATACCTTGAGGCTGTTTGAAACTTAGTTACTTCTTGCTAGAAGTTAATTTATATTTTGAGCTTTCTTTAGTTCTTGAGGTTATCTTGAGGTTATCTTGAGATGATTTTGGGGCTTTTTTTTTAGTGTTCCCGCGGCCCGGTCCTCGACCAAGCCTCCACTAACACCCAGGTACCTATTTTACTGCTAGGTAACAGGGGCATAGGGTGAAAGAAACTCTGCCCATTGTTTCTCGCCGGCGCCCGGGATCGAACCCGGGACCACAGGATCACAAGTCCAGTGTGCTGTCCGCTCGGCCGACCGGCTCCCCTTGTTCTATGTTCTATATTAAAAATAATCAGACTTTGGAAATGAATAGTTACCTGTCTCTAGCAGTTTGGTAACAGCCTCGTAAGCCAGTTCCGAGTATCCACTTTCAAACACAACTTCACCGTCAGTAGAATAGCCAACTCCAGTCATGTGACATTCATCCCCTTCCGATGTGGCAATAGAGGTCACGGTCATTTCATTCTGTTAACAGAATACAGAATTCAGCAGCAGGTTCTCTTCATTTCTACTAAACATCATTCCTTCCTCTACATAACTATGAATTAACAAATTCAAAGCTTAAAAAAATAAATGACACACTGTCCCAAGTTTCATAAGTCAGTCTTCATATACATATCCAAACATTCCATTAATACTGCTAATCCCAATATTAACCTGCAAACAATAACTCTTATAACCATTACTGTTTACTCCATCAATATAATTCCTTTTAAATTCTATAAATATAAATTTTGTTCATAATACCATCAACATAACTAAAGCTTTAGCTTAAAAACTAAACACTGATTAAAATATATAAATCACACATTCCAAGATCTCGAACTAACAATTATAAATTTAAATGTCAGATTTTAGTTGGATTCTTTAAAATAAAACACTTCTGCTACTAACCTTAGTCAAGGTTCCAGTTTTGTCAGAACATACAGTTGTAACACACCCAAGAGTTTCTACCGTGTGCAAGCCCTTCACCAAAGCTGAGCGTTGAGCCATGCGACGTATGCCCAGACACAATGTCATTGTGACTACAATTGGCAGCCCTTCCGGTATGGCAGCAACAGCTAAACTTACTGCTATGTTAAATATCTGCAAAGATGATTCGTATTGGTGAAATATCAGTACAGTACCAGGGTGAAATGAAAAAAAAAAAAAAAAGACAAAATTAATTGACTCTATTCATGTCAAGATGATGAAAAGATGATGAAGGGCAATGTAGAAATAATCAATTCATGTGAAGACGGTAAAGGCAGTGTGGAATTATGTCTGTTTAAGTCAAGATGGTAAAGACTGTGTAGAATTGTCTATTCATGTTAAAATGGTGTACATCGAGGGCAGGAGACCTGCGGCCTTTTAGGGTACGAAGTGCGGCTTTTGAAAGCAATTTACATTCATGTAACAATGTTTAAGTTTGTTTTTGACATGTTTGAATGAATATAATATACAAAGTATGGCCTTCTAAAATCTTCGCTAAGTACAATATGGTTTTTGTATGAGAAAAGGTTCCCCACCCTTGGTGTAGACAGGTGCCAGAGAACAGCAATATGGTAGTGTGGGTTCACCTTGCATTTACCTAGTGCTAGTTTCAAGGAGCAACCCCCCCCCCCCCCCCCCCAAGTCCTGGAAATATAAAATGTATAACATGTGCTTATATTCCTGAACTACAGCTACAGAAAATATGGCACATATTCTAAATAGTACAGTATTCTGTATCCTGCATAATAAAACTGATAGTAAAAGGATAGGAAAATAACTTGCTAATGTACACATTGACTGACTGTAACAGGGGAAGATAACGGAAACGGCATGAAAAATGAGAGACTGCTAGCGTGATATAGGTATCTGTACAGAAATACAAGGTGGTTATGCAGTGATGCAAGGCTGTTACACGAGATATTCTGCTCACAGGCATGAATTGTATTGGAATTTAGGATAAATAATGTATAACTAGAAAACTACCAAGAAGCCTTTACAAAAATAATATAAACTATACCTTAACATGCATAAAATTCATTACAAAATAAATTCTATTAGATTGATATATAGTATAAAGCATTCTTTATACAAGAGGCAAAAACAACTGGTTCTCTTTAACGACAAAAATGAAATTATTTACCAGTAAACCTTGCGGAAAAGAAAAGAGTGGTAAGCTATCGAGTAACTTTATCCATTATACCGTACCTTGTGAATAGGAATGCCTTGGTACAATCCCAGAACGAACACAATTCCAATGAAACCAAAGGAAAAAATGGAGAGCTTTTTGGCCAATTCATCCATGTTGTTCTGCAAGGGTGTCCTGGGCGCTTCCTCATCCTGCATCATTCGAAACAATTCACCAAATTGTGATTTTTCTCCTATACTTATTACAATTCCCTTCCCCCGGCCTGTGCGGACAAATGTCCCCATGTATGCAAGGTTGTGCATGCTTCCCGATGTACTGTACGGGCCAGTGCCAACTATACTGCTCATCTGAAAAATAAAAAAAGGCAACACGGTCTGTAATATATGATTATTTAAAAGTACAATGTACAGTACTACACAATCAAATGGCAATAGGTACCTGGGAGTTAGTCAGCTGTCACGGACTGCTTCCTGGGGGGTGGAGGCCTGGTCGAGAATTGTCTCAATTAATTTAGAGGACGGTCAGTATATATGGTAACGGCCTCAATTAACAGAGCAGCAAGTCAGTATTCTTGGCAATTGTTTCAATTATTTAAGGTTGCAAAATAATTATTGTAATAAAATATTATATTAATAAAGTCTTTTCCCTCTTCTTTCAAGTACAAAAGTTACTGAAACACACTTCAAAATTCATTCAATCCCCTTATTAGTTTTATCTATTCAATATTGTTTTCTTTTAATGTCTTGCTGGAAACACTGCTTTTCAATTGGGCATTTTAATAAACCAATATCACAACCCGAGACAGGTGGGACCAAGGTCTTTAAACACCAAGGAAGGGGGGAAAAGTCTTGATATGAACATGGTTCAAAGCTATAGTACTGTACGTCTAACAAGAGAAAACGGAACATACAGTACATAAATGTCAAGAAAGTACCTACGAAAAAAAAAAAAATACTTTAACTCCTAAACTGAACAGCCATTTAAAAGTACTGTATCAAGGTGTGTCTGTTTAAAAATTAGTTAACAAATCAAATAGGAAAAAATTATATATATGGCAATTTGAGCACAAGAAGAAATTGCAGACAGCAACTCAGCAGCATTAAGGTTAAAAAACGTAAAATAGTTATTCATACACCGTTGAACAATTACAAGCAAATTTCTCTACTGTCTTTACCTCTTCATTACCTATATATTAAAATGCACTGCCAACCATCATCATAACTATCAGTTATCAAGTACTGTACTTAACAAATTAACATCAATTTTACCTTAGGTGCAGGCTCGGTCTCCCCTGTGAAACTGGACTCGTCAATACTCAGATCTGATGCCTCAAACAACCTCAGATCTGCTGGGACTCTGTCTCCAATATTAAGGTGAACAATGTCCCCTGGGACTAATTCCCTAGCCTGATACTCTCGCACATTTCCATCACGAAGACACGTACAAGTAGCGGGAACCTGGAAAAAAAGGGTCCTAGTTAACCCCTTAAACTGCTAGACTATTTCAAAGTCCTACATCCATATGTGAATGAAAAAATATAAACAATTCATAGGATCAACTGCAGACAGCAATTGGAGAACAGGTAAAAATTGCACATAGCAATTGGAGCACTGTATGAGTTAAAAAGATTACAATTTTAAAATACTTAATATACTGTATCTTAAATATTTTTGACAAAATTAGACAACCTAGCATGTTGTAAATGTGATTAAATTATTAGTGAATCTATATCAATGTAATTTATATTTTATTATAATACAGTATAGTACTGTACATGTAACATATCTATGAAAAATGCAGGAGAAACTGCATACTAAATATATATGTACTGTACAGTATAAATGCATAATGCAAGAGAAAATATTTAGTCATGATTAATCTTACCTGTTTCTTTAACTCTTCTAACGCTTTATCCGTTCTCAGTTCTTGAATAAAAGCCACTGTTGCTACTATCACAATCGCAAGAGTGATGACAACGGCATCATCAAATTGGCCCATACAAAGGGATACAAATGATGATGCCAACAATAGTAGTATCAATGGTTCCTTGAACTGAAATTAATGTCAAATGGGAATAGTTACAAGCCTAAAATGAAAGGTTTAACACATACATTATATAAGCACTATACTGTAATTGCTTGATATCGGTATACATTATTTACATATCTAAAGCTTGAAAAAAATGGCAAACCCTGAGAACTATATTAGATATACGATACAGATTTATAAATATTAAAGCAATATAAATACAACCTTTTAATATTTGAGTTCTAATAAAAACAATGTGAAAAAATAGTACAGTAACTACAATTTTAGATTTACAAGATATATTATCAACTACAGAATATCCAGTACTAAATTTGTATTTACTATATTTCCATCTTACCTGGCCCAGATATTTTTTCCAGAGAGGGTCATCTTCTGTCTCGGAGAACTCATTGTAGCCAACTAGCTGTCTACGAGTAACAACCTCTCGGGAGGGGAGGCCAACATTAGGATCTGCGAGCAGAAGACGGGCCACCTCCTCCCAAGGCAGCCCGCCCCCTTCCCGCCCGCTCAACCACATCCCAGACACACCAGTGTCTGGGATGGTAGACTGCTTTTCAGATGTTGTCTTCTCTGATGTCGTACAAGAGGACGACACGACTCCAGGTCCTTCCTAAAATATTGAGCATTCATTAAAGAAGGTAGCCTGTTAACCTTTCTAAAAATATTGAGTTTTAATTGAAGAAGGTACACTAAATAATGCAAAAACAGACAGATAGTTATGATACATAAACTATATTTTTGTCTTACCTATTTATGGTTTAATATCTTGTTATCTCAAAGAGCTCTAAAATTCTAGGGAAAAAGGCTTACAGGTGGGCTTGCAGGTATCTCTTATTAAAACTAAAATATATTGTCCCCAGAACAAAATCTGCCAAATAATTTACATGCTGGCCTCCCTACTATTGGATAAAATAAGGCAAACAAAATTAAGGCAAAGTAAATTAAAATTGACTTAAAGAGCTTTGCCCAAATCATACCACCCTGTAACGAATATATTCACCGAGAAGTGTACAGAATTCCGCTACTAGGTGTACTATATACACAAAGTACTAAGAGTAAGTTATTGTGGTGGCCTAAATAACTTTCCCAAGGTTGATAAATTAAGCCCAACCAAATCACCCTTTGCACTCTACCTTGCAAAGTGAATTTGGTAGCTACCATGACACAGTATAAATGATTTTAATAACATTTGAATTCCTGGCATTTTACTTCTGTTTGCTCTCACCAACATCCTATTACCAATCGTCTTATTCATGTATTCAGTCCAAGTATTTTTCTCAACAGTTTTCCCTCCGTTGCATTCTCTCATTCCACATTTATTCCTCTAAATTTGTCTGTATTTCTTGTCTATTTTAAATCACAAAAATCATAAGTGTAAGAATTATATCTACTGCCAAGCATTTCTTTTGCACAGCATAAATAATATTCTTCCCTTTCAAAATTCTTTCCAGAGATCCAGTTATTTTTCTAGCCAATTTATTCCACCGTGATGCCATGTGCAAATTAGTAACTATCAAAAGAAGGTGCTAAGCTTGATGTCATGTGCAATATCAATACAATACCGTATTTCTATTTACTGACATTTTCTTTACTTCATCACCCATTACAATACTACACTTGACTACATTTTGTTCATTTTGTAAACACCACAGTCTACCACCATACCCTCACATCTTTCAAAAAATTATCACCTTACTCTGAGAGCATTGGTCTTTCTTCTATTGTACAGTGAGTAGAATTCATTCACTTCCATTGCCAGCAATCAATGATGAATCAAAACATGGAGCGAGTAAGAGCTGGCAAGATGTGCAAGCTTCCACTCACACACATACTTTACTCTCTCTTCATAAAGTGCTTTTCTTGTACTGTACTTATCAAACTGCCTCCTATACTAAACCATTACTGTAGTACTAATGGTACACACATGGCCCGGTTACCTACGTTAACCACTTATGGGCCGGCCAGTAAACCGATGAGTAATTGTGCAAACCAAATAAGCGATACCCTGTATACCCATATCCAAGAGATAGCATTATCTTCAACAGGGCATTTTTATCCTCTCTTATAAGAGGCCACTTCCAGGTCATTGAATGATTCATAGCAAATACCCTTATTTGAAAATATTTTTATACTCTTCACTTTCCTTAAAATTTAAATTACATCACGACCTGTTTCCAAAATAATTACCTACAGTACTTTCCATTGATGAAACCATTTCTCCATTTCCAGAAATATCAGATGCTAACATTAGCTCTTTAAAATATATATACTGTACCAAAATTTTAATAAAATACAGTATGTCAAGTTTATTCAGCATGACAGCATATACATGCAGATGTATACTGAATATTCAGAATTATTCTATACTGTATGTATGAAAGAATAATAATTTCTGCACACATGCATATAAAAAGAACTAATGTATTGCATATAAAAAGTACTAATGTATGACTAATCATATTTTTACAAAGAAAAAATAGAGGATTAATATTTTACACATAGCTGAGTAGTGCCCCTAAGAAGGGCAGAATGTTTATTCTGTGGTGAGCAGAGAAGGCACCCTTCTTTGTATTACTGATACTGCACTTGCTTAATGCAATTGTTACAAAAACTATGTGGGAATTCATTAAAGTCTCTGCAAAATCTACAAGTGATTAAAATGAGTGTATTGTGAAACAATTGGTTGCAAAACCCAAGGCATTATCAATAGCAGGATATTAAATGTTCTCCACATATTTGCCTACAAAAATCTAAATCTACCATAGACAAGTAGAATGTTTTACTGCAAAATATACACATACAGATCCATTAATATACAAAATTTTATTAAATCTAATATTAATTAGCCAAAATCTTCTTTAAGAATACTGTCAAGCATTAAAAATCCAAAAGCGTTAGGGCAAAGCCCATTACGAATTCACAGTATATTTGCTGTACTGTACTTAAGATATCTAATTAGCAGTCCCCGTGGTTGTATTCCAGGGAACATAGGATTAAGGACTTGCCCGAAACAAAATGCATGCTAGTGGCCGTACAAGAATGTAAGAACTCTTGTACTGTACAGTATATATAAATAAATAAAATAAAATAAAATAAATATCCATTATCTTCCAAGCTAACCTAACAAGGCAATTTTTTGTTGTGGATTTTAGACCAACTGTGCAAATTCAGTCAAAATAATTAATTATAGCACAAATAATAATTTTAATTAGATGCAGTAATCAGAAACACAATACAAACTGCAAAATGTTTTATAAAACAACATAGAATAGATGATAAATGCTAATCAAGTCAACTAAGCAAAGCCCCTATAAAATCAAATTTATCACACACAAATGTAAATGATCAAAAGTCAGTCTGGTGATGACAAAGTATAACCCCCAAGTAGCATCAAAACTGAAGTGTATTGTATACATGTATTAATTCTGGATTAATATAAAAAAAAAAATGCTTATCTTTGACATGAAATAAGAGTCTTGTACTCTAATTGTCAGTGGAGGCGACACGTTTTTGGTCGTCCATTAACCTAATACATGTAGTATTTACATACACAATATCATATGTCCTCCCATATTGAACTTCTGAACTTCAAAATCACTTTCCGTAAATATATGATGAAAAAAAAGTCATAAAATATCCTCGCAAATTAGGTGCATCATTTCATTTCTTTATTTCTAACCTACAATAACTGAATTTACTCCATCATATTAAAGTGCACATGAGCTGGTGACACGTGCTGTATCATATTCAGTAACAAACATGCACAAGTTAAAATAATAAATCACACGTCTGAGGATGATCTCTTTAGAAAGAGCGGAAACTGTTTAAAAGTGTTTTTGTAGAATGATTATTCATTTTATCAAGTGCCAGCTCAAGTCACAAATGAAATCATTAGCCTATGGTGTTTATGTAATGGGGGGCACAAGGCTAGTGGAAGGGGCTTGGGTTATTAGGGGTGCCGAGAGGATAGCAGGGGTGTTAAGTATAATGTGACAACATTAGGGTAAAGGAGAGATGCATTAGGGTGATGGAGGCAGGGTAAGATCAGAGCATGATAGGATTAGGGGGGGGGGGCTTTGGATAATTAGAGGGTGGTAGGAAAATCATGGGGAAGGGGGTTGTTAAGATAAAAAGGCAGTGCTAGGACAATAAGCGGGGCACTAGGACAATGAGAGGGGGTGAGGGGCACTATGACAATGGGTGCTAGGATAATGAGGATTTAAAATAGTGAACAGATGGCCTGCTGCGGTGCTCCCTAATGTTTATACTGTCATAAATAGACTCAGCGCTACCATTCTTTACTGTTGCCGTCTTGCCACATCTATCCCGGCAGTTCTTTTATCTTGACTTTCATTGCATCAATCACTTTTCTTTCTGACTGATCCTACTTGCACGTTCTAATTTTTTTTGTCGCCATACACATCTGTTTTACAAATGGAATTTCCGTCCTTCCACCACCAATTGACTTTTGTCCACATTCACTAAGTCTTCTTTCACAAGCCCCAATACAATTTTCAACCAGGACTTTCACACTTTCACCCATCAAAAATGGCTATCATCTGGCATCTGCACTATATGGGCACTGCACAATATGGGCACTGCACAATATGGGCACTGCACAATATGGGCACTACACAATATAGGCACTGCACTATATGGGCACTACACTATATGGGCACTACACCATACAGGCACTACACCATACAGGCACTACATTATATACTGCATTTCAGTCCTTTTTTATGTTATTTCTATCTTTATCGAGTGAAATATGTGAAGCCGTCACCTGGATACATAAAATATAAAAATGCAGGTTACATCCTAAACCACAGCGAGTTGTCTCTACTCACAAGAAATGCATTCCTGAAAACCACGGCACATGTGAGTTCGCAAATACAGTATAATGTAAGGTAATATGGGAAAAATAGAAATGTTTTTCAGAGACCTCCCTGAAGTCTCGTTTCTGCCTCTTATCTTAATAAAAATCAGATTAGTTATTAAATAATTTGAATTGAATAACTTTCTACATACATTATGAGGAGCTAAGATTTTGTTTTTATTCTAGTACTGTATATCCCCATGCTTTCTCAATATCTGTATACATATAATTTAGGAGGATTGAACAGAATATAAAGAGTTTTTTTTTGAGGGAGGAAGGGGGGAACAGCATGGATATTCCTGTATGGGTCCCTAAAGTTCTGGCTAGCCAGAGGAGGCCTGGTCGACGACTGGGCCGCGGGGACGCTAAGCCCTGGAAGCACCTCAAGGTAAGGTAGCCCGCTAAGCTGACAATGATGTAGAGAAACCCCAAGTTGCACATAGACCAACTGAAGATGATCATCTTGCCTGTAGGGGCTCATAAAATCTAAATCAGGTACCCAGAGATAGCTGGTTATATAGAGAAGGGACGCAACTGAATGAATTTTATGGATGTCAAATGCATCATCACAGAATAAAATTACATTACATACAATCTGCAGCCATTAAACCCAACAATCAAAAAGAATAAATCATTACTGCATTCAGTATTACAATCCCACCTGCTAAATTCTAAATACAGTATAAAAATATATACCGGGTACATCGTGTATGTAATTTTTTACCCTTTAC